AGCCACAATGCATGCCAAGGTCCAGTCCAATTTAGCAATGGAGTATTTCAAAAGTGGTACTTGAGAAAAATATTACAGATAGTTTTATACAGGATGACATTTTTAATGCCCCCTGGAGATATCTGAGAACAAAGCTGGAATGTGCCAAAATCTTCAAAGGTTACAGTCATCTGAGGAGAACCTGTTTCACATTTGTGTTTCTAAGAAGCTACTTTTACGACGCCTGAACACATTGCACAGAAATCTCTCAACACATTTATGATATTCCTGTGCCTTTGACTATCACACCTGCCATACCTCGAGGCCTCCACATTAGTACAAAGAAAGCCAGCGGCAGACTTGCGAGCTGGCTGAGAAAGATGATGAGATCCTAGAAGTCTTTCCTTCACACTCCTCCTTCCCCTTACTGCCTTGGAGTCTTCGTGTTTGATCTGTTGCTAGGTTGGCCAAAAGATTCCACTCAAATTGTTTCTGCTTCATAATGCACAGCTGTTCCATTTGCATAACTTCCCTGTTGATTTTAGAAGTATGGATGTTATCACTGGCTGACTGACATGCTTGTCTGCCAGGCGGTGGTGGTGGGGGGAGGGGTGTGCACGGGCAGGATCATTCAGGTAAGTGGCTTCGAGGTGCTCTCACTGCCCTTCCTGAGTGAGGCAGGAGACCCCTGATTCCAGCCTCCAAAGAACCCCTGAGCAGCGGCAGAGCTTGAACAGTGCTCGAGTTCTCATGCCTTTTTATTTTCAGCGGATAAAGTTCTTTTCTGCACAACTTTTCTTTCTGAACCTTCTAAGCAGGAACTACAACAACCCACTGTGCAGGGAAAAATGGGAGGGAGGTGGAAGGGAGTCAAATTCTTCGTCCTCAAAGTAGAAAAGGAAATGTGATTTGAGGTGCATCTACGTAAATAAGGGCTTCCCCTGTGGCTCAGCTGTAAAGAATTCGCCTGCAATGGAGGAGGCGCAAGAGACACAAGAGACGTGGGTTCAAACCCTGGGTGGGGAAGATGCCCTGGAGAAGGAAATGGCAACCCACTCGAGTATTCTTGCCTGGGAAATCCTGTGGACAGAGGAACCTGGTGGGCTACAGTCCCTAGGGTCACAAAGAGTTGGACATGACTGAGCACACACATTCGTAAATAAATGTGGCGATGCTCACATCTCAATTTCCACTGAAGACGAGGACTGTCTCAAGCTCTGGACCCAGAGTGAAACCACTGCTCCATCTAATGCCAAGTATGGACAACCTTGTTTTCCATCACTGCTCTGAAGAACCCAGTCTCCTGAACTGTCCCTGACGAAGGGCCACTGGGACGGTTAGCACATTTTCTGTCCCCGGCAATGTGGAAAAGAGGGCAGGCCCCTTACAGGCTTTAAGTATCTGCTCATTTCCTCTCTGAGTAGCTCTGGCTCTTGAAACATTTGGAAAAGAATTAAACAAAAGTCTCCTGGGATGCATATTAATACTTGAAGTTCCCTGAAAAGGACATGCTGTCTCTTGCCTCCAAGTCTTTGCTTGGAATACCTCTTCTCTCATTATTTGGCTCCCCGGGCCCTTCACATACAGGCTGGAGGCCCTGCTTTGTGATCCGTAACTCTTTGACCTTGCTTCCGATTCAGCAGTCGTTCCATTATAACTACTGTCCTGCTCTTCAGAACCCTGTGCTGTACTTAGTTCCTCAGTCCTGTCCAGCTCTTTGCCACCCCATGGACTGTAGCCTGCCAGGCTCCTCTGTCCATGGGGATTCTCCAGGCAAGAATACTGGAGTGGGTTGCCATGCCCTCCTCTGGGGGATCTTCCCAACCCGGGGATCCCAATGCAGGTCTCTCTCCAGCATTGCAGGTGGATTTTTTACTGTCTGAGCCACCAGGCAAGCCCAAGAATACTGGAATGGGTAGCCTATCCCTTCTTCAGGAGATCTTCCCAACCCAGGAATTGAATCAGGGTCTCCTNGACCTTTGTTGGCAAAGTAATGTCTCTGCTTTTTAATATGCTATCTAGGTTGGTCATAACTTTCCTTCCAAGGAGTAAGAGTCTTTTAATTTCATGGCTGCAATCACCATCTGCAGCAATTTTGGAGCCCCAAAAATTATCTGTTGGATATCCATAGTATCTATTGGATAAATGAATAGATAAATGGACAGACGTGTGACTGAATGACAAGATAAAAGACAGGACCTACCTAAACATGACAGTCTCATCCTATTTTATCTTCACAAACACATAATTTTGTTCCCAGTGTATTTTAACTGGAATTGCGATTTAACTAAGCCCATGCTATGAGGGTCTGGGTTCGCTCCAGGAACCCAGCTCCAGAGTCACTGTGGATGCCCATGAGGGGTGGGGAAGGCCTGAACCTGGCAGCAGCAGTGGGCTGGAAGGAATAGTGGGTCAACGTCTGGGTTAGAACAACTGGCCTTGGGAGATGTGGAGGCGAATGCCAGCTGTCTCCCCCAAATCTGTCCCTCCTCCCGCCTGGGGGCTCGCTATCCACATTCCCCACCTCTGTGTGCAGGTGCACGAGGCCATGTGACAAAGTCCTCACAGAGAATGTAAGTGGAAGTGGCACATGCCGCCTTCAGGCCAGGGCTTCTATGAGTGGGTTTTTCCTCCTTCAGATCCGTTTTCCATTTCTCTCAGCTGGTTGCACACTTAACAAAGCCCAAGGCCAGTGGTCCTCAAACTAGTCAGCCTCACCATCACCTGAAGGCTTCTTGAGCAAATGGCTGGGCCCCACCCTAGAGTTTCTTTTAAAAAAAAAAAAAAAACTATTTATTTACTTGGCTGATCCAGGTCTTAGTTGCAGCACTTGGGATCTTTGATCTTCGTTATGGTGTTTGGGATCTAGTTCCCTGGCCACAGATCAAACCTGGGCCCCCTGCATTGAAAGCATGGACTCTTAGCCACTGGACCACCAGGAAAGTCATTGCCCAGACTTCTCTGATTCAGTAGGTCTGTGATGGGCTCTGATAACAAGCATTTCCAAAAAGTTCCAAGGTGATGCTCATACCACTGGTCCATGGACCACATGTTGAGAAGCAATGCCCTGGGGTATGGTGGAGCCCCACACTGAAGGAACATGCATTTCCAAATGGTTGTATTAAAGACAGCCTCCTTTCTGACTAGACACCCTGTGTGAAACAGATTCCCATCGTGTTAACTCCAGCCATGTTTGGGTCTGTTACAGTGGCTTAGCCTACCCTAGCTAATCCAGGAGGAGCTGAGGGAGAGGAGAGCTGATTCTCAGATTTGGTACTTGGGCAAATGGCAGAATGGAAGAGCAGGTTTGGGTGGAAAAGATAATGAGGGACTTCCCTGGTGGTCCAGTGGTTAAGAATCCACCTTGCATTGCCGGGGAGGCAGGTTTGACCCCTGGTCAGGGAACTAAGATCCCACATGCTGCAGAGCAGCTAGGCCCACTTGCCACAACTAGAGAGCCCAGGTGCCACAACTACTGAGCCCACAAATCAGGACTGGAGCGTCCGTGCATCTTAACCAAGATCCCGCATGCCACAACTAAGGCCTGACACAGCCAAGTAAATATTTTAGAAACAAAAAGGGAAAGATAATGAATTATTCTCACAGACTGACCAAGCTCTCCACTCCACAGGCTGGTCTCTTCGCCTGCCCCACCCTCAGCCAGGCCCATCCAGCAGAAAGTTGTCTCTGCCTGTCATTCCTATGCGCTCACTTCTTGCTGAGTCCTTCTCATCTTTCGAGGCTGCCTTTGGGTCTCACCCACCTCCCGAAGACTTCCCTCCTGCCTGCCCCGGGTTCTGGTGGGATGGACAGGGTCTGCTCTTCCTTCTGAGCTCCTATAGCACGCTTGGCCGCAACCCTCATTTTATAGCAAATCCGAACAGTAATCCCTTCTGTCTAGATAGCACTGCACTGCTAACCAAGCACTTTGGCTTTTACCTCATCTAATCCCGTTTCTAACCACGTGAGAAAACCTGGAGGTGCAGACAAACACACACCCATACACACATGCACTCTGTTCATTATTATGCATTACCTAACACTTACTGCATATTCCACATACAATATATCATTTCCACAAGTCTTGAGAGCTAGGACATTTGCTGAATGGCCGAATGAATAAGTTTGTTTATGGCAACTGCTGACTCTGTTGCTTGCCAGGGACCGGGAATTTAACTCTTCTCCACCCTTTACTTTTCCTCCTCCAGAAAATGGGACAATAGTTACCTTGTAATCGAGTAAAGCAATTATGCTGAGGGTCCTTTGCTCATGGTAAAGTAACACTTAGATATTAGCAACTAGCTATGATTATCCTTGTAACATTTCTTCCATTTTCAAACGTTGTCTTGGCATGCAAGATCCTATGGGATGGGACTCAAATTTACCTTCCCAGGCTTATAACACACCTTCATGACCACCCATATTTTAGCCAGTTTATCATTCCCTGAAAGAGTTTCACACTTCCTGCCCCTGGGCATTTGCATACACTGTCCTCTGCCCAGAGGACCTTCTGTAATACCTTATCAGTTAAAATCAAGTCAGCTCAAACCACCTCCCTTGTGAGGTCTCCACAGCTAGATGGACTCTCCCCTTCCTTGGGGGCCCACAGCATTAGCTTGAACCTTGCTTACTGCCGCACCTACCTTAGTACTGCCACAGCTTATCATATAGCTTCCTGTTTCCCTACTTTCCAGAGATAACCTCTCAGTTTCAGGTTCATGGAGAACCCTTTCTCATTTTCCAGAATGTCTGTGTTCTATGTTTTATATCATTTCAATCATGTCAGTGACTTAGTTTCTCTTTTTTGGTGGGGGAATCTGGAGATTTTATCATGTACTTAATCTGTCAACTTGAAAACAGAAGCATCAGGAATATGAGCAGACGAATAAATGGATAAATCCAGGAGGATACTCAGATGTTGATACTGTTCTGGGAGGGCGCTGGAGGGAGAGTGTTTTTCCATAGAGCTCTGGCTTTACACATCATCTCCCCGCTCAGAGCCTCGGATGGATGTTCATTACCTGAAGTGCTGAGGCCTGTGTACTCAGGCGATGGGTTGCTGACAGGGGAGGAGGGGGGCGGCACTTCCACCGACGCGGCAGACTTTGCTGGAGAAAATGACGGCACAGGCGAAGGGGTTGGCGGGGCAGCCTCTGTCAGGATTATCTCTTCTCGGACTTCTGCTGTGGGAAGAAGGGTGGATTCTTAGAGCCAAAGGTCAAGGCAAGTTACCCTTAAGGGACTTTTAAAAAGGAAATGTTATTGTGGTGCGTATCAAGTCTTGTGTGTGCTGTGTGCTCAGTCGCTTTAGTCATGTCCGACCCTTTGCAACCCCATGAATTATAGCCTGGCAGGCTCCTCCGTCCAAGGGATTCTCCAGGCAAGAACACTGGAGTGGGTTGCCATTTCTTCCTCCAGGGGATCTTCCCAACCCAGGGATCCAACCCACGTCTCTTATATCTCCTGCAGTGGTAGGCAGGTTCTTTTCCACTAACGCCACCCGGGAAGCCCCTATCATGTCTCTCCTCTGATTAAAATCTTTGATGGTTTCCCATCAGCATGGTGGCACACGAGGCAATTCCTGCGTACACACAGGCCCACTCTCAAGAAGGAGAAGACAGTGTTGGTTTCCCGCCGTCTGACCTGTTCACCAAAACTAAATTCTCTGGGGTGTGGAGCTGAGGAAACGCAGAGCACAGATGTAAGGACACCAGTCAGTGTGAGAAGGAGGGCGCGCCCCAGTGAAGCGCCGCTTACCCGTGCTTCCTTCTCCCTTCATGGCCCGCATGAGCTCGTTGGCCCGCTCCTGGCAGTGAAGCGATTCTAACAGGTACAGCACGTAGTCATCAAACATCAAGTGAATCAGATGAAAAGACCCTGGTAAGAGGAGATCCAAGTGAAAGGTAAGCTACCTCAGCTCAGCGGTGCCCTCTGGTCTGGTGGACCACACGTTGAGTGGTGCTCTGACCACCTGGCCCGGGCCCTCATTCCCGCTCAGGTACAAATCACCTTGTTGTCAGAGGTTGCTCTCCTTTGCCCTCTCCTCTCCTAGCCTGGGGTTTAGCATAAGGTTAAGTGTTGGAGAAGACTCTTGAAAGTCCCTTGGACTGCAAGGAGATCCAACCAGTCCATCCTAAAGGAAATCAGTCCTGAATATTCATTGGAAGGACTGGTGCTGCAGCTGAAACTCCAATACGTTGGCCACATGATGTGAAGAACTGACTCATTGGAAAAGACCCTGATGTTGGGAAAGATTGAAGGCAGGAGGAGAAGGGGACAACAGAGGATGAGATGGTTGGATGGCATCACTGACTCTAGGACATGAATTTGAGTAAGCTCCGTGAGTTGGTGATGAACAGGGAAGCCTGGCATGCTACAATCCATGGGGTCTCAAAGAGTTGGACACGACTGAGTGAACTGAACTGAACTCTTGCTTGCTCAATTTATTAATAGGATGTCATAAAAAATGGCACCCATTGAGCCATCTGTCAAAATGCATTTGAGCTCTTCCACTCACACTGTCCTCATCCTTGTCCAGGCACTCTTCACTTTGTTCAGCATTTCTGGACATGGTGTCTTGCATTTTCCTCTGTTCCACAAGCTTCTTAGTCCCCTGACTAGACTATAAGGATATCCACAGCAGGGACTTTGTCTTCTAACTCACTGGTGTCTACCAATGTATGTGACATAATTCTAGGAGCATAATCGATGTTCTAAGTTAGCAACAAATGAATTATTTCCTTGAGTGTTTCTGAGACTCTGTTTACCACATGATGCTTACAAAAGGTATTGCTTGAAAAGATTTGGTATCCTCAAGTAGTAGTCTTCATCTTAAACTTGGAGTAGATTATTTCATAAAAAGGGATATGAACAATCATTTTGAAAGATTTTTCCAATGTGTCAGTCTTTGTGCTCAAAATATTATATTCAATTTCTATAACCACCTTGTAAAAGTAGGTGCTTTTATTTCTGTTTTGCAAAGTCAAGTTGTTCAAGATAACAGCATACATTATTTCAAAACCCTCTTTTCTTGCATGTTGTGCTGCCTCCATGGACATGGGTCCACATGTGGGAGGGTACTGCATGTCTGCAGACAAAGAGAGGGGCCAAGCCCTCATCTCTAGTCCCGTGTTTCCACCTCTCAAAGGGACATCTCCACATGGATATCCTGCTGTCCTGTGAAGTGTCCAACACTTCTCACTGACATCTCCTTTCCCCATTTCCCTTGCTTTTTTTTAGAGGCCTTCAGAGACTCCCCAGCATTATTTATCTCGTGATCTGATCATCATCATCAACACCACTATGACTGTCATCACACATTTATTGAATGCTCACTATATGCCAAGGACCTTGCTAAGCACTTAACAGAGGGTTCATTCTTTCAACAAACTGTGAGATAGGTGGTATTATCCTCATTTGAAAAGACCCCGATGCTGGGAAAGATTGAGGGCAGGAGGAGAAGGGGACGACAGAGGATGAGATGGTTGGATGGCATCACCGACTCAATGGACACGGGTTTGGTGGACTCCGGGAGTTGGTGATAGACAGGGAGGTCTAGCATGCTGCAGTTCATGGGGTCGCAAAGAGTCGGACATGGCTGAGCGACTGAACTGAACTGAACTGAACTGTGCTGTACTTAGTCACTCAGTCATGTCTGACTCTTTATGACCCCATGGACTGCAGCCCACCAGGCTCTTCCACTCATGGGGATTCTTCAGGCAAGAATACTGGAGTGGGTTGCCATGCCCTCCTCCAGGGAATCTTCCCAACCCAGGGATCGAACCCAGGTCTCCAGCATTGCAGGTGGATTCTTTGCCATCTGAGCCACCTAGGAAGCCCATTATACTCTCTTATGGATGAGGAAATGAGCCTCTCCATTGGAATTAAGCAGGGATTGGTCTCAGGTTGGTCTGGCTCCAAAACTCTGTTCCCCCTTCCCCTACAGATCCATCCGGTTCAGTTTCCTCATAGCACAGATGGGAAGACTAAAGAATTTGGTCCTCAGAAGGGCCATGTGATCTGGGTGTTATGCTTTTACAGGTCTCAGAAATAAGTTGATAAGGGCCAGTTGGGGGCTTCAGGATGGTTCTTAGGTGGAATTTATTTTCTCCTTTTTGGTTGTACCTGGCTTCTTTGTACACGTGCACACACACATACACAATACCTTTCAGTTCAGGTAGATTGATTCTTTTGGTCCAGAAATGCTACAGAATAAGATTCCTGGCTTAACTCTGAGGCCCTCAGATGCCCCCAGGTCACGCACATCTACTCCAGTCCCTCCACAGAGCTCCAGGACCATGTCCCCCATTCTGAACTTGGTCCCCATTCTTCCTCCATTCCCAGGGTGCTGTGGCTGTTCTTTGACAACATTTGGAATTCAGAACGTTCAGGTGTTTTCGAGTCATTGTGAGATGCAGACTTCCACAGCTAACCTTTCCATCCACTCCCCTGGAATAAGTCCTGTGAGCCACAGGTGGAGCATGGTGGGTAACCTTGTGGGGCTGGGTCAGACCGCCCAGGTTGAACTCCAGCTCTGCTGCTTAGTAAGACTTGGATGAGTTGCTCCTTGGAAATGTTAGAAACAAAACCAGCCATTTACTGAGCTGTTGCTCTGTGGCAGCCACTGGGTTAACTGCTGGAGAGTTACTACTGCATTAATCCTCATCACAACCAATTGAGATGAGTGATACCCTCCTTCTACAAAGGAGGAGATTAAGGCTCAGATGGGTAAAGTTAACTGTCCAATGTCACACAGTTATTAAGTGTCAGACATGGGATTTGAACCCAAGTCTGACAGATTCTGAAGCTGTTCTTCAATCAATCATGCAATAAGCTTCTCTGTGAGGGGAACAGTCAACTCTATTTTACAGAAGTGCCATAAGGAGGAAAAGTTTAATGAACAGTGGCTAAGGTCCCTTTTGCTATTAATGTTCTAAGATTAGAACATTCTAACCTTCTAAGTCCTATGGGATGACTGTTCCATTCACAGAGTCAATGAAGTCAAAAGACAGCAGCATATACCAAAAAGTTCCAAAGGGTGTCCATAATGAAGAAGTATTTGCTGAGATGTGGCTCTAAGTCAACAGGGATAGATAGAGAGAAAGACATTATGAAACCAAATTAGAATGGAAAACCCTAGATAATAAAAATGGGTTTAGTAGTTTTAGCACAGACAGGCACCTCAGATCATTTCACAATACTCCTGTCTAGTAGATAAAGAAACAAGATCTGATGAAGTGAAGACACTAAGATCACCCTCTTAGAAGATATCAGAGCTGGGCTTGGAGGACAGTACTCCAGGGGAAGTGTTGATTTGGGGGTTCAAGTTCTCCTCCTAGTGACTCTGATCAGCTACCCAATTGGTCTGGTAATTTCAATCATCCTTCAAACAAGGAAAGTTTGTAGAGCTATTGCTGCTCACTAAACACTGGGATAAGTGCCTTGAGTCCAAAGGAAACTTCAAGCTCAGTCACTGACTTCCCAAAAGCTACAGTGTCCTTGGTGAGCAGAAATTCATCCTTAAGATTATTAGGCAACAAGCAGTTCAGTGTCATGATCATGGGAGCAGTTCAAATAGAAGGGAGGAAAGCAAAGAAGGAGATTCAGAAAGACTGATGAGAGGAAGAAGAAGAGGGGAGGGAGATGGAAAGAAGCATCAAAGAGACAGGAGAGAGGCAATTATAGCTAACATTCCTGCTTTATTTCTTCCCTTAGCACTTAACACCATCTGCTATTCTATAGACTGAATTTATTTATCTTTATTATGTGCCTCCCTACACTAGATTGTAAGCTCCATAAAAGGAGGGAATTTTATGTCTTTTTACCTCCCTTCCCCCTCCCGGCCACTCTTCTATACTCGGTGTCTAGAACCGTGTCAGGCACAGTGGAGGCTCCATGGTTATTTGTTAGACAAATGAATCAAATGAGCAAGCACTGACCACTTACCATATACACTGTGATAAGCCCTTTTAATTTTCTAACAACACTGAAGAAGATATTATCTTCAGTTAACACATAGGGAAATGAAGGTTCAGAGGATTTTAAAGCACTTGCCTAAAGTTACAGAGCTATTGAGCATTGGAGTCTGTTATGGAAAAAGGTATTAGGATACAGACAAAAGATTATTGTTGTTATATGATGACATAGTTAATGGCATCTTATAGAATCAAAGCATTGCTTTTTTCTTCTGAAAAATTTCAAACATACTGAAAAGTATAAATAATTTTAAGAGAATTCCATGGCAGCCAGGGGTTAGGATTCCGCACTTCCTATGCAGGGAGCTTGGGTTTGATCCCTGGTTGGGGAACTAAGATCTCACATACTACACAGGAAGGCCCCTCCAAAAAAGAGAGAGAATTTTAAAATGAACACCCAGTGTACTTAATACCAAGCTTTATAAAACTTTAACATTTCACATATTTGGATTTTTTTAATTGAAGATAAAAATGAAGCCCCAGTGTTCCCTTCCTTAACATGCTCTGACATAGCATGCCCTGACATAGCATGCCCTTATTTAACCACTGTCTCAAATCTGCCACTTATTGTTTAAACACATTTCTACATACATTTATATATCCACAAAACAAATGATGTTTTTTTTTATTTTCAAACTTGATAGAAATGGTGCCATATTTTACAGAGCATTCTGCAACCTGCACTTGATACCTTGGGTTTTTTAAGATCTATCAACACTAAGACACGTTGCTCTCGTTTAATGGCCATGGCCATTGTGTGACTATAGCATGATTTATTTGTCCAGTCTCCTGTTGATGGAATTTAGGTTATTTACATTTTTGACTATTGGAAACTGGCTCTAACGAATCTTTTTTTTGTTTTGTTTTGTACCTGTTGCCTTCCTTGTGTTTAGGACCAGAGGT